CACACACACACACACACACACACACACACACACACACACACACACTTTCTCCCAGCCTTGGGAGGACTAGAAGGAAATGTGCACAATTGCTTTTCATGGGGAAAAAAACGTCAAAGCTTCTGGACATTGGTCGGATTTCAGTGTCACCAGCTGGTGACACTAGTGGCTGCTGCCCGCCTTTGAGCCCTGTAAGATGGGGAGTGGGATTTAGGGCTGGGTCTGGCCATGCCTGGCTCCACATGAGGTCTCCAGAGGCCCTGCCCCTGGAGGACTGTCTGAGCCAGCTCACCTGGGCCTGGTGTGTGGAAGGAATATGGCTGTCAGCGTCACCACGGACCTTCCCACCCATTGCCGGGGCTGAGTCTCAATCACAGGGTGGGTTTCCTAGCCTACAAGGTCCACTCTTGAGCTGACCCACTGAAGCCTCTGGTCTCCTTCTACCAGAGGCAAAGGAGTGGGGCCCTGGGGTCCCAGTGTCCTGGGCGGTGGGTGGGACGTTCCTCTCTCAGGGGCACCAGTGCAGTGGCAGGGAGAAGGACCGATCCCAAGCATGTGGGCGCAAGGGGGTGTGAGGGCTGAGGGCCGGAGCTGGCCACGCTGGGCACGCAGCCAGCCTCCTGGGCCCAGTGCTGCCCTCAGATGCCAGCAGCAGGATGCTGGCCGGGCGCTGGGGGGTGAGGGGGGGCTGCCTGGACCCCCCTCCCACCTCCTCTGCCCCCTCTGAGCACCTGGTGCCCTCCCAGGACACTGTCTGCCTTCAGTCCTTCAGAGAGAATTCACTTCTACTACAAAATAAAATTTCTCCAGGGAGAGGCCCCCCAGCCTTCAGCAAACAGCTAAAAGACATTTATTTTATCAATAGAGATATGTGGCTCGGAACCAGCTTTGCAAACGAAGACAAATGCGTGTGACTGAAGAAGATGCGCCAGCCCCAAGGCACGCAGGCCGCTCACAAGGTTGGCAGACACGGATATCCGACCAGCCATGAGACTTCCCACAGCCACAGAGAAGGAAGGAAACGAAATACCTCCTTCGAAAAGAAAACGCCTCCCCCCAGAGACACACACGCATAGACACACACTCTCATACACGCCCACACACACACACGCCCACACATGCAGTCCTCTCACCTACTTCTGCATTGTCACAATGTCGCCGCCGCCTGTACCATGGGGGAGGGGACATGCCTGAGAAACAGGGCGGGGTTCCCCAGGAGGAGAGGACCTCAGGGGACAGGAGCTGCGCCTGTTTCTGGTGCACCAGGACCAAACCAGGCTGTGTGCGTGTGCATGTGCGCGTACGAGGGCAACGGCCTTGAGTCATTCCTGGGGGATGGGGAGAAGAGAAGAGAAGAGAAGAGACGACAGATCGACAGGTCATCACCGCACAAGCAGAGGAGGCGGGCGGGGGCCGGGGAGGAGGCTCAGTTGATCTGGCGACAGGCTTCGAATGTCCACTTGGTGGCACCGCCATAGATCTCAATGTGGGACTCGGCCCAGGCGATGACGTTGCCAGAAAGGGCCTTGGAACTGCAGGTGGCCAGGTTGTACACCTCCCCCGGGGTCAACTTCCGGTCCCAGATGTTGAAATGGGCCAGCTCACCCACGAACGCTTGGGTGGCGTCAAACCCACCACCCAGAGTGTCCTTCAGAGAAAACAGAGGATGAGGGTGGAGCACGGGGCAGGGGCGCGTCCCTAGGGCACAGTCTCTGCGTCTCCCGCATCAGGGGATCTGGGCCTTCAGCTCTACCTCACCCTCCCCGCCACCCACGGGGCACTGACAGAAGGGATGCTGCTGGCCACCTCTGCCCTGGAGGCCAAGTTCTCCCGGGGGCCCCTGGACTCTGCCTCCCCCCCCAGCCCGTCACTCAGCCCCTGAGGGAGGGGCCAGCTGGGGCCATGGATGGCCACAGGAGCAGGGCCTTGGGACACCTTCCCACTTTCCCTGCTTCTCGTCAAAACACTCGGGTGTCACTCTACCAGCAACAGCTGCCCAACGGGAACAGAAGGCCGGGACTCTGCTGCCTGCAACTCCCCCCAGGGCGCCCAAAGGGAGACCAACCACCCCCAGGAAATATATCACGCATGGCTACAGGCAGAAGCAGCTTTCCTGTGCCCAAGAAAACCCTGCATGGACGAGACTCAGAGTCCAACTCAGCCTGAGCTGCCACACAGCTCTCTCCCCCTTGACTTGTCACTGTCCTCTGCAGCTCGCTCTCCTCTCTCCGGCCTCACCCTGCCCCCCCTCCCCCACACACACCCCTCCCCTCCGTGCCCCTGCCTGCTCTCCGGTTCTGGGGCACCACCACCCTGCCCGTCACTGTCCCCATGGCCAGTACCTGCTCCTGGCCCAGCACCAGCACACCCTGTGGCTTGATGGGGTGATACGGAGCCAGGTTCTCCCCGTTGCCGCCCTGGGTGCCATCTTGGTAGGCTTCCCAGACGCCGTCCCGGGTGGTCCAGGTGATACAGATGTGGTGCCACTTGCCATCGTTAATGACAAAGGGCAGCTTGGCTACCTGGCAAGGAGAATGACGCACATGACGTTACGGGTACAGGGATACAGCTCAGGATCAGCGATCATCACTAGTTACTAGTTCAACTGTTGTTCTTCTTACCCTTCCTATGAGCAACAGGGGCCATGATTGAATTCTTGTAGCACCTGCCCCTCCAGACTGGGTCACCTCTCGGCCCCTGTCTGTCGGGTCATGCACTCACATAGGAGGCGGATGCTTTGTCAAGGGGCTCCTAAGATAGACCTGAACACACAACCTTCTGACTCCTACTCACCTTCTCCCTCTGCTGGTCTACACAAGCCCTGGGACAGAGACCACCCCCGGGGGCTGAGGTCACTGCAGCCTTCCAGGCCTGTCCTCTCCTCTGACATCCCATCTCTCACTGCCGGGTTCTCTGGGTCTACAACCTGCCCAGCCTTTGTAGGGAATCTGAGAGGCATCAGGGGAGATGGCGCCGTGCCGTTTAAAGCTCACACCAGCCTCCCACATGGCGTTTCACTCACCTTCAGAGGTTCCAGGCAGGGTGGATGGGGCGGCAGACCAAACAGCCCTCGCACCCTTCTACCAGGGGGAAATGGGGCCCAGCCTCCCTGCCTCAGGGCTTAGCGTTCAATTTCCAGCTCGGGTTTGAGACATTTACCACCAACACAGGCAAAGCTCTGGCGGCCGCGATGAGAAGGCTCCCAGGGGGGAAAGGCTGCCCGCCCTCCCAGGGTCTGCCTCCCCCAGGGGTCGGGGAAGCAGGATAGATCTGGACTTGGAAGGGGTCTCTAGGGGCGTCCTCACATCCCGAGCATCTGGGGGCCTCCAAACTTGGAGGAGCAAAGCCAGCTTGAGGCCAGCTGGGTGAGAGGACTCACGATTGATCTGCGGGAAGGACCAGCCCCTGGGTGGTCCCCCACCATCCCCCACCATCCCGCACCCCAGGAGGCCTCTTTCTGGGCGGGTTCCAGCTTCACTCTGTTCCTGGAGTCTTGGGAGGACGCCCCTCCCACATCTCCATCTTTTCCCTCTGCCTCCCTCCGTCCGGCCTGGCAGATGCTCCTCATGGGGTGGCAGCAGTGCCTGAGGCTGTGTCCCATGCCACGGCCGACCTGCCCCAGCAGCTGGCTGGGACCGGGGTCCTACCTTGTCATTGATGAGGATCTCCATGGGGTTGTTGCCCCACTCGATGAGGACCAGCTCGTTGGCCTGGCCGGGCACGGCGTAGGAGAAGGGCGTGCCCACGCCCGGCGCGGCACTGGACTTCAGCCACATGCACACGGTGAAGGCGTACATCTCGGGCAGGCTCTGCTTCACCTTGGCATACATGTAGTTGGTCCGCAGTGGGAATGTGAGCTGGAACTTGTCTCCAGGGCGGCTGTCCTTCTGACCTGGGGGGACAGGACACAGTCCTGACATCTGTACCTTGACGAAGCGCCGGTCCCTATCTGAAGCCTGTTGGGCTCCACCGCCCCCACCGTCCCCACCACCCCCAAGCTCAGTGACGCAGACAGAGCAGACTCAGCTCCACTCTACAGGTGCTGGGAGAGGGGTTCAGAGAGGTCCCTGGGTATGGGGCCAGGACGAGAGAGCTGACCAAGGTCTGTCACCTCGGGTCTGGCTCCCACACAGTGTTGCTCTGGGGAGGCTGGGATGTGGGTGGGGGGAGCATGGTGGGGGGGCTGTGAGCATGTGCACCTGGGCAAAGGTAGAGAGTGGGTCAGTGCATACCCTGTAAACCCACCCTCAAGGTGTGGCCCAGAGGAAGGTCTCTGCACTGCTCCCCCAAAAGAGGCTAGCTCCCCTCAGAGCAGCCCCTGCGGACTGACCGACCTCATTCCAGGATGCTGGTTGCTGATGGTGCTGAGCCGTTCCCTTCTCGGTCTCCACACAAGCCTAGCTGGCCCCTGGTGCCCAGCGCACTTCCCGCCCCTGGTCACTCATCTGACCCAGCCGCCTAGCCCTGGGACTTGCCCTGTTTCCAGAATCCCACCCCCCCACAGGAGGGAGAGTTGTCCCTCCCAGGTTCTTCTAGCAACTGTCTGGAGCCCTGCACAGAAGGCAGGACAGCAGGGAGCTGCCCCCACCCCCAGCCAGGGGCCCCCCAAGGTGACTGCTTTGATGACTATGCCACTCACTCCCAGGGTGAGTTTCCTGTGTGTTTCCTGAAAAAGTGGGCTCTGCCCCACAGCCTCCCCTTACCGCGGACCACCAGCTCCCCCCTGCTGGGATGTCCCCAGGGAATGCAATCAGGGAATTGCTATCAAGACAGATAGCAATCTGTCCCCTACCCACCCAGACAAACACTATGGCTGTGGCCCTGGGCATGGGGTGACTGACTCCAGGCAAAACATTCCCACCCAGCACTGGGCACTGGCCCGGAGCCGGAACACACAAAGCGGCCAGCCCCTGCAGCCTGCCAGGGAGACCAGCACTAAACCGGCCCCCAGGCCAAGAATTATTTCTAGAAGGCACCCTGCTGGGCCATCTTCCTCTAAACCAGGTGTCAGGGAACAGAGCAGGGCTGGCCCCTTTGGTGCTGCCCACAGTCTCAGGCTCTCCGTCCCTCTGCCCTTGGAGCAGAGCCAGCCCTGGCCTCTCTGGGGGGTGATTTCCATTCCCCCACCCTCCCCGCCTCCTCCTCCCCTCCGCCCCTCCCGCCCCTGATCTGTTTTTCAGTTACATAAGGTGCCTTAAGATGGCACTGTTTAAATCCATCCGACACATTTTGCGGTCTAAGAAGGGTCACGTGGCCTTGCTCCGAGCCGGGGCACCCCCACACCTTTTACAACCTTGTTTGATTTCTGCGACTTCCAAGGCTGAGCCGCCGAGCTCATGGGTGCGCCCCCAGGGTGCAGAGGGGGACCTCCAGAGTTGGTGACTCAGGGGACCTCAGGCTGTGGAAGATGCCTGGGGCTGGGTCACTCAGAAGAGAAAACTGCGAAGGGGGCTCAGGGCGGAGTGGGGGACCTGGAGCTGCCCAGAGGGTGCCAGGCGCGCTCAGGAACTGGGCGGAAACCTGCTCAGGGCCCAGATCTGTGGGGGACCAGGAGGACCCAGCTCCAGCCTGCGCAGCTCTTTGCTGGGGATGGGGACCGGCTAGACAGCCAGGTTTCCTTACAGGGAGGGCCTGGGCCCACCACAGCCACGGTGCAAAGTTACTGAAGATTAAGCAAATGAGACTTGGGAAAATCCTGTGAGTGTGTGAGTGTGTGCACGGGGAGGACGAAGGACAAGAGCAATCCCTTCCCCTCTCTGCTTCCCTCCCACGGAGATGCCCAGAGCCCAGGGGCCCCGGTCCAGCCAGGGACACCCACTGGAAGCCCAAGCCTGGCTGCATGCGGGGCAGTGCGGGGTAGGAGGGTGGGGAAGGGCTGGAGGGGCGCTGGGCTTTCGCTGAAGGAAGCCAGGGCCCCAGGCAAGGTCCCACTGGCGGAGGGAGCCGGGTGGCAGCCGGCGCCTCCCCCACGCCCGTTACCTTTCTCCAGCTCGCTGATGCGCTGGTGCAGGGAGGTCAGGGCGCTCTCGATCTTGGCCCGCTCCTCGGTGTCGTTCCTGGGGCCCCCCTTGCCCTCCTCCAGCGTGCTCACCCTGGACAGCACCTGCCTCTCCAGATCATCGATCTTGCTCTGCAGCAGATCCTTGAGGCTGTTGGTCTGGCTGGAGGAATTGAGGCGGCTGTACTGCTGCGGGGGTGCACGGGCGGGGAAACCACAGCGTTACGCGCAGAGCGGGGACCGTGCCGAGAGGCTCGCGGCGCGGTCCCCTCAGGGCGACTGCGGGGGCGGCCTGGCGGAGAGCTCGGGCGAGTGGCCATCCGCGGGGCCTCGCAGGCTCGGGGCGGCCGGGCCGGGCAGCAGCGTCGGGGCAGGCGGGGGCGGGGGTGTCCCAGCGGGTCGGGAGCGGGTGGGCGAGGGCGCAGGGGACCGCGAGCGGATGGGGGGAGCCGGGTGGGGGGGCGGCGGCGCGCGCGGACCTCGAGATTCTCCAGGCGGGTTTTGAGCGACTGCAAAGTTTGCCCGAGTTGGCTGAGCGTCTCGGCGGCCGGCGTCCGGGACAGGTCGCCCATGGTGTTCTTGCCGGAGCCGGGCTGCTTGCGGCCGCCGCTCGCCCGAGACTCGCCGGCGCCCGTGTCCAGCGTGCTCTGGCTCTCGCAGCGGCCCAGCTTGGTGGTCAGCTCGCGGATGGTCTCCTTCTGGCTCAGGATGGTCTCCTTCTGCTGCAGCACGGTCTCGCGGAGCTGCAGCACGTTGCTCCGGAGCTCCTCGGCGCCGCCGGCGGCCACGGACGCGGCGCACATGTCGGCGTCCACCGGCACCGAGGTGCAGATGAAGCGCGTGGGCCCGAAATCCTGGGCCGCGCCGCCCAGGAGGCAGAGGGCGAGCAGCGCACAGGTGCGCGCGGCACGGCCGGCCGGCATGGCTCCGGGCGCGGGGCCGGGCGCTGCGCCCGGCTCGGCTGGGCTGGGGC